CCTATCTCGCCTATTTCTGATTGACCTCTATAGAGTTCTCTGTTCTCCTATTCTTTCTAATGCCTCTTCATCTCTAACCTCATCGCTATCCTCATAATTATCCTGTAACACCACATTTTGAACATTTCTAACCTTTTTTATTCCGCACGCCCACTGTCCATGTTTCGCACCCATACAGCGCCGCGCTCCAAACATAAACCTTTAACAATCTTTTTCGGATTTCTAAATTAACCGTTCGTGATTTCTTTTTATTGAAAGCTACTCGACCCTGTGCTATCCTCCGCTTTATATACCTGCTACTCATTCCGTCCTGATTTATTTGACTTCCTAGATACCTAACATCAGCCATCTCTTCTAATTTTTCGTCTCCTATCTTTATATTCGCTCTTTCCTTACTTTTATTTATTGTCATACAGTGCCGCTTCTATTTTATTTAAAGCTATCTCTAACTCCTCCTTGCTAGATGCTAATACTGCAGTATCATTTTGCAATTCCAAGCATACTAATCTTTTTCCTTAGTATATCTATCACTATACTTGCTTTGTATTTAATGAAATTGTTCGATGTAGACATTAAAAAATAGCGGGGACAGTGTGCATCCTTGTTTGACTAATATTTACTTCTGCACGTTGTTGCTCCAGCTCTATAACTGCTTGTTGCTCTATACAAACTATGTATCACTCTATCTCTATCTGTGACTCTCATTCCTACATTTTTATGTATATTTAACATCTTATTCCATTTGACATTGTCAAAACTTTTTTCTAAATCTACAAATCCTATGTACTTGTTCTTTCCTTTTTCTATCGTTTTCTCTATTGCTACCTATAAAGCTAGAGTGGCCCCTCGTGTTCCTCTATTTCTTCTAAACCCAAATTGATCCTTCCTTAATAGTTCTTCTGCCATCCTCCTCTGTAAAATTCTAGTAAAGATTTTTGATGCCAAGTTAAGCTAATTGTTCTAAATAGTTCACACTTATCTGCGCCTCCCTTTTTGAGGTACGGAACCCTAAAAAAATGGTTCTTTCGATATTACAGACTACATTCAATAGTGTTGCAGGCAAAATTGCCAACTGACGCGTTGGCAGTAAATAAGACGAATACTCTTCAATTTTAACTTTTTATATCAAACAGTAAAGATAATGTAATCAGGCGGATAAGAGTGTTTCGTGTTTCCATTTTCCCAATTTTGGCATGGAACACTAAACCTGATGATGATGTAATAAAATATTCATCTGATAAAAATACCCGTTGGAGCAGCTACTGCTGCTAACAATGTGGATGTGTAACAAACAGTGTCATCTTCAATTTGCGCCGTTGTTTACAACTTAAGTGCAATTTTGACGCCTGAAGCTGTCGCCCTGCGTTTTCGCGACAACTGAAAATTTCCTCCAATTTGAAATGAGAAATAGCATGCGCCGCGAGATATAAATTAGGTAGGACTTGTCCTTTATTATCCGCACGATATTCATCCATTGCACTGATTACATACAACACAAACATGTATGTGTGTTCCATATATGCTCCGGGCATCATAACACTTTACAGAAAATGTCTAATATTCGGTGATGCATGCAACTAAGAAAAATTACTTTTGCTGTGTCGCCTATCGCAACATGTTACTTTACTCGTAGAATGGAAATAGGAGGAAAATTTTTCTTTTCTTCTATTCTTGCATAAGATATTTATAGACCGACATATGTTAGATACACGTTTCCGAGAATATACACGAAGAGAATTGAAATAAATTGTTCATCTTCTGAATGCAACATGAAGAAATAATGAACTAGTAACATTTTTGAATTTAAACACAATGTACTTACTACGACAGCTTCAGAAATAATTTGGCCTTTGTTTTATTTAAGATATTGATATTTACAGACGACCATATTTATAATAAGTTAAAAAGTAAACAGCTTTCGTTGAAATAGCTAGTTGAAAATCTCATGAGCCTTCACATGTTGTTGTTATATTCATTACTAATACATTAACTTTACTGTTAATCGTGTGATTCGTTGTACAACCAGAAATGAAGCTTCATAAACTATAAACGTTGTCACTGTGCAAGCCCAAGGTTCATGAGATTCTGCACTGCCTCTACTTCATTTACTTCAATAATCCAGCCGGAATAGGGAAATACGTGGTTTGACTGTTTAGATAGTTCTATTGCATGATTTACAGATTGGGTCCCTAATGATTATTGCTTCTTATAAAAGATTGTTTATTATGTGATATTACGATATTGAAGTGGTTGTTTGGATTAGGACGGATTTGGATTATAATATGTACGCCCTTAATTTTGGACACTGCGCAGTTAACGCTTTAAGTTCACACATCAAATCATGAGGGCTAAAGTAAAAAAAAAAGTTTTGGGTGCAGTCCCTTCACACTAGGCCCTCTTCAGCTTCCTTCTAGGAATCGTGGGAATAAGGTGGATGGAGTTTCTTTAATGCCCCCGCCTGATATGTTAGATATTGGAATAATCTGACGAGGTTATACTTGTTTCAGCAAACACGATGATCTTGAATGTTTAGTATGTTGTAGAGATGATAATGCTGATCATTTTCATATATACATATGTATGTATGTGTTATGTTGGACACGGAGATCATAATGAAGCATATTTTCCGAAGACATTATGCCAGCATACCAGCCTGCCTTTGGCGGGCAGGGGCATTGAAGAACCTCCAGTCTGTCATAAGTCTACCTAATAACCATACAATATCATCACTAATGCATATACATCTCCAAACCTAACCTAACCAAACAATAGTCTGAAATTCCGATATTGTACTAGAAAATGTATAAAACTAATGCTTTCTGTGAATAAAATGAATAAATTAGTAAACTGAGAATCATAGTTATCTGTGTTTACGTGGTTCTAGTGCGATCGGCAGATGTATATGCCTTGTTGACCTTATTGTTTGGTTAGGTTAGGATTGGAGATGTAAATGCAATAGTGATGTTATTGTATGGTTATTAGGTAGATTTATGACAGACTGGAGCTTCTTCAATGTCTCTGCCCGCCAGAGGCGGGCTGGTATATTGGCATAATATATAATAGGAATTGCACACAGTTCCTAGGAAATGTATACAATTCCTAGCTTTTATACATTTTGATGCATGTTAAACTTCAAATCTTTTGAATGATGCTAATTTGACCTGTTCGGTTCTCAAAACTTAAATTCAAAAAATAAACTTTTTGAGGGTTTATTCAGAACTAATTACTTGTATTGTAGTAATATTTACTTTACAAAGAAACGTTTAGAAACCTGTTATTACCCTAGACAAGTGATGCGCCATTAGCATAAACGATAGACATAAGTTGTAAAAGTAATAAGGTGGAAACCTTTAGTTATAAATACCTAGAGTACTGGTCATTTGAAAATAGGGGCTATGTATCACGGACTAACACCTTTTAGTTACATATGCATACACCCTGTATATTTTACTTGTTCTTTGATCTACATAAATAGGTATTTATCGTTTTAGTGTAAACACGCGTTTTCCGAATTCAAATAAAATTCCCAAACCCATCTCGGTTGGCTTTGAATGGCACGAGACATTTAAAAACACATTTGTGTTTTAACCGTTGTTTGTTCAAGAGGTGCTTCCTTTCATTTAGCCGCCCGATCGTTCTAAAGCGGTTAAGTAAACAAAATGTTAATGCGTTTGATCGCGCGCGTCTAGGAAAAAAAGAAAAAAAGCATGGAACGAATCTTCTCCGATTTTACACCGAAAGTACTTTTGGAATTATCTAAAGTGCTGCCATCCGTCTTTGCAACGGTGAGAGTAATCTGACACTTTTTTCATCTTCCTTTCCTGTACTCCTCTCTTTTTGCCTATCTCTCTTTCTGTATTGTATATTCGAACTAACTTGAAACCTATTAGTTTTGTTTATGCTATAGAATTTTTTGGAATAATGGTTTTAAACGTAAAAAAAATATTATCGAATTTTTCGGAAAATAACCAGAGGTAGACGTTCACACCTAATACGTATGCATTTGAAATTAAAAAATAAGTGTTGAACATGCAAGAAGTGATAGGACAGTACAAAATAATTAAGTAAATATTTGTATGACCGCTGGGATTTACTTTTTTCGAAATAATGTAATTGAAGGTACAAACAAATGTAATTCGGTCCTGGAAAGAAATGTACAACGCAACGCCGTATTCAATCAGCTGGTAGTTAGCTCCATCAATATTGAATTTCTTGTATAATTTTTTACTAATTTTGCATTGTTTGTTATTTATTAGATTAGATTAAGTGTGATTCAAAATTTTTATGTTACACCCAACCTGCTTGTTCTTTTAACGTTTAGTTAAACGATATGCAATTCAATGAACTAATTCAGAAATGCATTTGTCATTGGAGTAGGTCAGTATATTACTGTAGAACAGTTGTAAGAATGATCTGCCATGATACTTATTTACGTGTTTGAATCGTACGGCCCGCTGTGGAGGACGAAATTCTTGATTACACGCAAAATAGCTGGGAAAGTTGGTTCCTCTCATGTAACAAATAAAGAAACGGATGCTGCATCCATATCATTTGCAGCGAGTGGAAACTTTGCTTCAAATTGACTTTCAGGCGCGAGTGGTTTTGTGTTGGTGATTTCGATCTGAATTCACCATGCGATTCCTTATTGCATTTGGTGTACACCCTCTGAAATTCTGCACTTATTTCTATTACACTCTGTATAATAGTGTATAGAATTCGGTAGCCAAATCGAACTCTGTGAATATAAATCAAGGTATCTAGCCGACATAGTTTTGGTAACTTCATTTTTTTTGTGTTGCGCTGCTCTGTCCTGCTGGGTCCTTATTCCACCACCGAAATCAATGTGCGCGTACACAATACCTTGTTAAAAAATTGCACTATTACTGTTAGCAGTAAAAACCACTAGATGGCTGTACATATATTGTCTGTTGCTCGAAGAAAAACATTTATTTATAAGTGCCTAAATTCTTAATTTAACAATTGCTTCTTCTTTGTTGCAGGTAAGGATTCTGTTTCATTCCCAAATAAGCACATCCTTAATCAACTCATATTAAAAGGAAGGATAGAATTGACTTCAAAACAGGTAATCTTTTTACCAATTTGTGCCAAATGTATCACTTAAAGATATATGAAGGATCTTCCAGCATGTTTTCCAACAACTAAAGAAAAAGTACTGTTCGTGATGTCACCGTAAGAGTCATTTTACCATGACTTCAATAGTCGATGGGCTCTTTATATCATTCAATACTGTAGAGGTAGTTCAGAATCTCATGATCCTTGGTCTTAGGCTGTTCAGTGAAAAAACTCCTGTTCACTGATTTTAACAATTTCAACCACCTAAAAACATTCGCCGTTCATTCCTGGTTGTATAACTACGTGCATGAGTCGCTGTTTTCGTAATGTACATAAGAAAATTACGTTAGAATTTGAAATGCCTCTACTAACGTCGTGTTGTAGATAAGGATTTTGTTGTATTCAAGGTGTCCCAAAAATGACGTTGAACCTGGTGTTCGCGCAAGGTACTTGTTCGCGCAAGGTACTAGAACCTTATTATTATTATTGTTATCATCAAAGTGTCTTCGGTAAAAGAGATGAGGGTGGCGGTACCACCCCTACCCCATTTTGGTTGAACTCTATAAATTGAGTTTTTTGGTACAAAAACAGGTGTTCGAAAAACTCTCGTGAAGTCTCCTCAAATTTCATCTATACTAGCTAAGTTATGTCGTCAAATTAATTCTTCTTCTTTTTCTAAGTGTTAATTGTTAAGTGTTCCTTAAGTTTGTATATAGTTTTTTGGTTAATATACGGTTAAAAAACATTGAAAAGTTTATTAGAGAAAGTGAGCTCTTGTCAAAGTTACAAGTAGCACTTCCACGAAACACCTGGTAAAAATGAAACAAAACCCTAGCGAATCATACCCTTTGACGGGGCTAATACAACGAAAGGCTATTTGTAGGTTATAATTTAAGAAAATCGAAGCAGTGCCCGCTTGCTTGTAAGGCTAGTAGTGGTTTGACTTTTTATAGTGTGCTCTGTATTGTTCGGTGGAAATCTGACTCATTAGAGCAAAATACGAATTTCCTGGTTGCGCTCAATTGACCTGTCACTTTAACAATTCCTTTAAAATAGTAGAGAGTAAACTGACCACGGCGCTATTGACGTATAATACATAAAAAGAAAAATAGTAACTGCCGTTCTGTTAATGTGGCCCCTAAAAAAATGTATTCATAAATTTACATTTTACGCCCTTAATACTTAAGCTGCTGGTATGTTAATTTATGACACCGGCTGGTCCTCCAACACCCACTGGATATCATTGACCCTCCCCTTAAACGATCTGTCAACTTTATTGCTTCCTCTTTCGTCTAGCGGGGAGCGTTGTGGTTATATTTATATCCACTCGTTCTGTCAACACCATCCATAAATCCTTATAAATAATTTTAAAACGTCATTCATCTTTTTCCCCGGCTATTCACAATTAAAACCCGTTCCGAAATAAATGCTTTTAAATCATAATCAACGATGCGCCCGCCGCGCCGGTACGAACGCCACCTGCCTCCGAAGACGTGAGGAGGCGGCAACACGAAACCTCGTTCTGCCGCTAATTACTCGTGATAAATTAAAATTCAGAACAAAAAGTTCGTTTTGGAAGCGCGAGGCAGCGTCTCCAGTGGCGGAGAGCGAACTTAAATGGGTACATCCAAAAAAAGAGAAGCAATTAGGACCGAAGTACGTCCGTATAGCGATAAATCTGGCACGATGCGCTCTTATTTAGATCCGGAAATCATGAATAAACATGGGTTTCTAAGTTGGCGTTGCCCGCCTCGTTCAAGTAAGCCGGCTGACAAACGAAACAGCGCGTCGGCTTGCTATTAAAAGACGATTAGGTGGCGCTTACAGAAAAATCAGCGACTGTAGGCGGATGTTGGTTGATGAAGATTAAGTTTCGCTCAATTAAGAGCGAAAACGTGTTTTGAATAGTAATAACGCGTTGTATAATGTGTTCGGACGTTGAACATGCAATTAATAAAGTATAAAGTGAAAGGATGTGTTAGACAGTTAGATAACGGTTAACACGGCAACCCTTTTAACATACCGTGCCGTCAAGATAGTTTTCTTCCTACGTACCGATAAGTCATAATAATTAAAATATACTGGCGAATAAAAGCTGACTTCAATACTTTGCCCATATGCACAAACTTAAATTGAAATGTTGACAACTGCACAATCATACTACCGGAGATGTAGCCTACGCAAAATGAGAAAGATCAGACGGAATTGACGAGGTTATTTTATTATCCTCCAACTATCCACTCTTATAAATGAAATATTTTTTTTCAAATTTAAACGAGACCACCCTCGAGGTATGACCTCAAGGAGATATTGAGGGCCATGGTCTAGGATTGTTTCTCTTTCGGTGTGATCACCGATAGAGTCATTTATCTGACATGAATCACTGCGGTTGGCAAGGAAGGTAGTACTCAGGGTTTAAAGTCCTGACTGAGTCTCAGTAGAATCACAGCCTGTAGTATGTATATATTCATATATGTATCAGGGAAACGGTTTTCATAATAACGTAATCTAGTGTATACCACCTAAACTCCTAGTACATAACTCTTCACAGAAGCTAAACGGGGAATCCTATTCACTTGGAAAAGTAATGATTTATTATAATAGTTTACTTCTTCGTTTGACAATTTTTTTTACCCCCGATTATGCTTATTTAAAGTTCAAAAACAAAATGAAGAACATATATAAGGCCCTAATATCTGGAAAAAGAGGTTGGTGACAGATTAACTGTAAAAAAAAATTGATCATGAGCCGATAGTCGTCGAAATGACTTAAAAATTATTCCAAACAAACGGAAAAGAATATTTGTGCCTACTCATATATAGATTCTACCTATTGTTTGATATATTATATGTCTTACTGACATCTAGATTAACATATCTCAGCATTATGTTTGTGTCCTACTTATGGTGGTTTTGAATTCTCAAATGCTGTCATTCTCCGTTTAGTAAAATACTTCAAATTGAATAATACTAGGGCAAATTGTAAGGTTCCTGCCAAAAACCATGTAAATTTAATTTTTTTGGATAAAGTTCATCTTCTTATTCAAGTTGGTTGCTTTGGGTCGATACGTTCCGCTCCAACTGTTCCAGTTCCTTACATGCCTTCAGAATAAAACAATGTTTACAATTCATCAAACTGTGCATTAATTTTTTATTTTTTATTTAATTCCTTCCTTAGTGCTAACCAGAAGTCTAAGATGGAAATAGGGGAAGCCGAATATTGTAGGTAATTTAGAATCTTATGAACTTTGGCCTGAAGATTCATTTCATTGCCACCTCTTAAAGATTTTGGCAGTCATCATTTACGTTTTATCTAGAACTCCATACCTATAATTAATCTTTTGGTAATATCCAATACGAATGCAATTAGATCCGCCTCTCGCGCATATAAAAACATCTAATATCAGCTTGCGGAAGTGAAGGATGTGTTGTTCCGTTGAAATCTGAGGGGGTCTACTAAACACCATGCAATTGTGGAACAGTTTAGATCGGAATAATAAGTAGATCCATCGAAACAATGATGAAAGAGCACGAAAGGTCCGTTCGACTGAAGCAATACTGCAAATCAGTCTTGGCAGAATGTTTGGGACACAGAACATGATATTTAATTCGATCTAACGAAGGTATTAGCCAAAGAGAGTTACTTCCTTCCTAGGGTCGCAATAAGGGAGCACTTGAGATCCACAAACACCAGAGCAGTCCCAACAAAAAAAACGGATACCACCTCGATACAGCTTGGAGACAGGTGCATAGCGACGCGACAACGTGAAGTTGCTGAAGATGCGCCTCGTGATAGGAAACGAAATATTCAGCACTTGACGCTACCATTATTCGTCATGGGGATTTCATCAATAAGACGCGGTTAGAATCCGGAAATTCAGTTTCTTTAGGCAGCAGCGTGAGATCCTTAATCAACTTGTACTTAATATCATAGTCTATACAATTTTACCAACCTGCTTTTAGTTCCGTTCTATGAGGCGTAATTGTTTTCAGTTAATTGTTAATTAGATTGGTATTCTTTTGTTTTTATATTTCCACTTTGAAGTATCTATTATTACTGCCGACAAAAAACATCCATTTGCATATGATAATTTGAGTTCCCTAAAAAACATTAAGAGTATCATTAAATTGTTACTGTTTCTATCGTCATTAAATTTGTTGCAGAGTCTTCCCTTTAGATGCTTAATTGTCTTTTAATTGTTTCTTTTAGATTACTATTTATAAATGGTAAAAATCAAGTGTTTACGAATAAAAGAATCTTCAAAGACTGCGTTCTGATTCTAGACTTTCCGTTTTTGTAGTGGGTGTACTGTTTTAGTTTTATTGGTTTATTCTAACAAGCTTTTACTGTTTTTCGGTCCGTAAGACATCAAACAGCATCACGAAGAAGCATGAGAAACATATGTCAATCAGCTGCTGTAAATAAACGCGTTTCTACACTAGTCAAGGAGCCAATATTTTTGGTTTCCACATCGCACGCTGTCGCTTGGCTACACCTACTTGTCAGTCGGAATTATAAGTGGTTTCTTCCCGAGAAAAGCCAACGCCTCCAAAAACCCAAAACGACTGCAACGCCAACGGGCCAGAAACCGAAATATCTTAATGCGACCTTATACCTACCTATATGTCGTATACTGACGCCGCCTCATTTCTATTTTTGCGATTACTGGAATGAAGAAAATGAAGATGTACAACTGACATACGATCAGACGAGATGGTTTTATTACTCTTTCGTTTTTTTCTGCTTTTATACGAAGTAACGAGACACTAAAAGAACATCATCGCAGAAATGAAAAGCACGGTATTCTAAATTCTAATTACGCACTAACAGGAATTTGGCTTGCAGACATTTTAACTTCACAATTTTGTGACTTGGTGGAAGTGTCAGAAACACTATTTCGTGACGATTTGTTTCATTTGTGGGTTGGGTCGTATAGTGATTGCTTTTTTTTTATTGCTGAGTTTGGAAGAAATAAAATGAGCTCTTTGAAGTTGTCACCCTCAAATGCGA